TGTGCAGGCCTCCAGGCAGTTCAGAGGCCCCGCTTCCCCCCCCTAGGCAACTGAACTGGTGGGATATAGGGTGCCCGAGCACAGTGCTGCAGAGCTCCCGCTCTGCTATGTCAGAGTTGAGGAATGCCTGTCCAGGTGCTAGCTGCTTTCCTGCGAGGGCCTCAGTCTCGGGTACAGAAGATTTCGGGACTGAGAGTTGACCTCATGTATAAAAGATCTGGCATTGCTTTGAGGGTCAGACTTTCCTGGGCTACCTTTAACACCAGGATAGGCTGTCCAACCAAAGCTGATGTCAGGCCCCCTTTTGACTTAGGCATGGAAGTGGCTCCCTGACCCTTGGCCCTGCAGCACCCTCTAGTGCTGTAAATGAGTGAAGGAACCTGGGCTTCCTAAAAAGGAGAAGAAGCCAGAATGGGCCTGGGATGGATGTGACCTGGGCAACAACAGACTTGGTTGCAGCTCGGGAGTCATTTCTTCTGAGCATAGCAGGTGAAAGGGGTCTGGAACATGAGGACCCCAACCTCAGTCTCCTTGTTTCCCCACAGGTCCAGGTCCTACTTTACTACCTGCAGCACCCCCCCATCTCCTTCGCAGAACTGAAGCGGAACACACTGTACTTCTCTACAGATGTGTAGCCTGAGGTGGGCAGCTGTGGGGGTGGCCAGAGCCAGCCCTCCAGCCAGGGCCCAACATAGACTTGAAAGACTGCAACAGAAACTCCCCAGCCTAGCACTCCAGAGTCCAAGGGAAGCCACCTTCCGAGAACTGGAACCCGTGCAGCTTTTGTACCACCTTGTACAAAGCCAGCTGACCAGCCCCCAGCCTCCTCACCACACCCCAGCTCCTACCCTCTGTACCTTTGCGTGTGTCTGATGCTCCGTGCTGTCCAAGATTGTTTTATGTATATTTGTGATGCAGAAAAGGTAGTGGCCAAGCTGGTGTGGGCACAGACAGCCTGCTTTGTTCTTTCATTTCTCCCAACACTTTCTTTCTGCCTGAGTCCAGTTTGGGGACTTTTATTTTGCACTGTGTAACTGCTGCCAGCTTCTCCTCTCCTGGCCTTGCTCCCAGATTGCAGCCTCCCTGCAGTGTCTCTGCCCTCTCCATCTTCCCAGTCTGCTGCATGCATGTGCAGCATGGGGATTTGCTCCATCACTGCAAAGTTCTGCAGAGGCCCTGGGCAGTGGTGGCCTGTCTGATGTGCTGTGTGCCACCCTTGGCCTCATTGCTCTCCACCTATGGAAGCACACCTGCTTCCTTTGCTGTCTGTGCAAATGTTGAACAAGGAGACAGACACACACTAATTCTCAGCTTAGCACAGAGCTGGAGAGCTGATTTCTGGAATGTTCTATTTGAGAATTGCCCTTTCTGGGGTTTTGTCTATTCTATCTCCTGCCTACCATGAGGCATCTTCAATTGTTTCTTCGACTGCTGGATTTTCTGTTTCCTTTTCCCTGGTGTTGTTTTAAGTGTAATGACTCACACGTGTCCTGCTATCGAGAGAGGTCAGGAATGCACCTGAGGATGTGGTGGGCACCCAGGCTGTGAACCAAGACGGATGGAGTGGACAGCAAGTCAAGGGAAGCCAGTCTTCACCGTAAAAACCTGCAGAGGCTATCCTAGTGGATGGAGCATGACCTCCTGAAGGGCAACATCTGTGGCTGAGTCAGGTGTCCAGATGACAGCAGGCTTTGTCCTGGAACCTCATATACCTCGTGGTACTTTTGCCTTAGATTTTACACCCTCAACAGCCAAGCACTGCCACGGGGCAGCCACCTTGTCATGTGTGCTCCAGAGCCTAGGAATAATAGAAGGAACAACGCAGCTGGAACAGCCCTGCCCTGGCACTGGCCCAGCTTCTAAATAGAACCCTGTGGGTAATCCCAAGTATTCTAGAAGTTGGGGGGCAGGCTGCCTCCCTTGTGTGTTCTGCTGGGGCTCCAGAGCATGGGGTCAGCAGGTGTCATTCCCAGCTTGGCAACCTATTGCTTGGTACTAGAAAGAGACTTATTCCCAAAGCACCATTTCCAGTCCGTGGCAGTTAGCAGGGAAAGGTGCTCCTGGCACAGGGGCTTGAGCTAGGCGCAGCTTCCTGGATCTTCTGTGTGGCAGAGTTGATTCTTGGCCCTCAGGATTGGGGAGACCAGCTCTCATTGTGTGTGCTCAGGGCTAAGTCTAAAGATGGGTTTGCTGGCCCCCAAGCTGTTGTTTGCTAGGTGAAAGGTAGGGCTTTCAGGTCTTGTTCATACCTGTTGCCTTTGACAGAACGGTACAGTTTGTGCATACAGGAGAAAGGAATGCCAACTTCCCAACTGCTTATTAGCAGTTTAACAAGGAGCCTTGCTGTCTCAAACAGGTGAAAGAGAATGCCTCTGAGTATAGAGGTCACATCATCTAGCCACGGTCTTGGCACTCAGGTGCTGGTGTGTGGCATTCTTGCTTCCAAAGAATTGACAGTAACAAATTATCAAAGCCCATCAAAACAGTGCCTCCTGTCTCTTTGAAACAAGGAATGTTGGCTTCTGGGCATTAGCTACTGCAGCCCCCAGGTTGCTTAGACAATGTAACAGCAGGAAGGCTGGAGGAGGAGCTGCGAAATATTAAAGGTTGCTATTATTTATAAATTCCACCCCAAGTGGGGCAAGTCAGGTGCCAGACCTGAACTGAGGTGCACCAAGGAAATATCTGGTGTTTCTTCTGAGATGGGGGCCATGCAGCCCCATCACTACCAGCAGGGCACCAGGAGACAGGGTCCAGGAACCCCAGGCATGCCTGTGCTTGCTTGGGCAGTGAATGAGGGCTGCCAGCTTTTGCTGATAAGGTAGGATGGGACCCCTAATAAGTTGGTATGGATATATTTTTTTTGTCTCTGTTCCGTTTAAACTTAATGTAGATTATTATAAATTGATGTAAACCATGTGAGAGGGAAATGTTAATAAAAAAAATAACTGCAAAGCCCCAACATTTGCACAAAACTCAGCCCTGTGGTGTGGATGTTTGTGTTCTTAGTCGTCTAGGGAAGATCACCAATCTAAATATTTAAACCCTTCCAGCTGCACCCACATGCTTCCAGGAACCTGTTTATCTGTCTATCCTTGAACCTCTGACTTTTGGGGTTTGTGGCAGTTGTGGGGAAAGTCTCTTCTCGCTCTCTACACATTCCCAAGTCCTTGCTGCTGTAATTCCCTTCATGGGACACTCTCTATGGATTTGGTCATCAGTGTGCCTGGGAAAAATGGCAGAAATGGGCCATTGGCTTCCCACTTAGCTGTATTTTCCCCTCAAAATTGGCATGTTATGGCAGCCTTTGGTTGAATTTGCTTATCAGGGACCTGCATTCCCCACCAAGAACCCACTCTCTCCTTCAGGACAGCCAGTAGGGCTTGTGTGGGACTTCCACCAGCCAAAGCCATTGGACACTGTTTATTCTGGAGATGAGGAACAGATGTGTCTGCAAATTGCTGTTTAGTTTATGAGCTCATACTGACCCCCCAGCCATCTAAAACAGGAAGCTATTCATCTCCCCTTGATTGAATAGTCCACGTGGACAAGGCCTGGCTTGTTCAGCTGATGTCTACTGTCAGCCCTGAGGCTCCTCTTTGCCAAGACAGTTGTGATGGCAACATTTCTTGTATTGAGGCTCATGTGGAAGACCAGCTGGTCAAAGACCTCAGATACCTGAGCACTTTGTCAGGTGCCAGCTAGAAACCATTTTTGTTTCAAGGTGTTCCTAGATGAAGAATTTACAGACCGTGTAGGAAACACTCCTGTGCTTCTTCCGGTCTCAGTGATGAAGCCTCATGCTTACAAAAACAAGGCAGGCATCATAAAGAATTCACTGGGGCCTATAGGCAGGGAGAGAGTCACTAATAGAGTCCTCGCCTAGCATGTTGGAAGCCTTGGGTTAAAATTTTTCGTTTTTTGAGACAGTAGCTCTGGCTGTCCTGGAATTCTCTCAGGCTGTCCCAGGTTGGCCTCAAAATCAAAGAGATTTTCGCCTGCCTCTGTCTCCCAAGTACTGGGATTAAAGGCGTGGACTACCCAAGCCTTGGGTTTTTTCCTCAGCAGATGAGGAATGAAAAGGATTCAGCAGAGAAGAACATGAGCCCTGTGCACTAGCTCACACCCATTCCAAGGGACTTTGTGCTAGTGCACAAAGGCAATGCTCTGGATTTGATGTCATCATTCACATAAAGGACTCTCTGAATTCCGCTTAAGGGTGAGTAGAGATGAGGACGCAAGCAAAGAAAACGTGGAAGGGTTCTTAGTATACAGCAGGGAAAAGACTGACTGTTGGCTGAAGGCAGTCATTACAGGTCTTTCCTGGGCCTTATACACAGCTGACGGGAGGGCAGAACTGAGTCCATTGATTCCATTGCAGTAACGTAGTCCAGTGGCACAGAACAAGGATGGTGTGCGCAGGCCTTCAACATTTGACTTGGGCTGGTAGTTACTGAATGACTGAGCTGGCAGTATAACCACAGCAAACACTCACGCATCTTTAACCTGGGCTGGGGTCTGAAGCCACTGGTTCAGCAAGCTGCAGGCATGACCACCAGCCCAATGGGGTTCTCTACAGAGGCAGAAGAGTTACCAGCATCTTGCAGTGCACCTGAGAACATGGCTAGACTGCTTCTGGGGAGAGGCCGAGCTGACAGTGGCTGGTGACAAAGGTGCAGTTTCCACAAGCCCTGTTTTCCAATCTCTCCACATCTGTGGGAGATACAAAAGCTAAAAAAATAAACTCTTTGTAACAGTACATATGCTCTTTAAAACAGAAAACCAAGAAATGGGAATTTTGCCTACATGTATGAGCAGTGGTGCCTGGTGCCCTCAGAGGGCCTTGGACCCCTGGGATTAGAGTTACAGACTGTTGCGAGCCAGAATGTGAACCAAACCTGGGACCTCTGGAAGAGCAGCTAGTGCTCTTAACCACTGAGCCATCTTACCAGCCCCCATATACTTATTTTTAACAAGGACAGCAAAGACACTAACTGAAATGCTATACTTGCCTGGATGGCATAAGTTTACTTTGCCCTGCCCTGGTACTCAAGACGAATGCTTACACAGTCTCAAGGAAGAAGAGCTTCCTAGCTATGGGCAAACATACTGCCGCCTCCCTGTTCACAACGAGCTGAGTGAAGTCAGGACTGAGCCTGGGTCGAGCTCAATTCTTAACAGTCAACACGCTGCCTCCTGATCTTTTCACTGCAAGGAGGCATACCTTCTACACTGAAAAACCTGGTTGGAATTCAGAAGTAGAAAAGTTGGCTGCTCCAGTGGCTGGAAGCAGAGAACAGTGAGGTGGTTCTCTCACACAACCAACTGTAGAGGAAACAACTGGCTTCGCCCCTGAAGCAATGCCAAGCGTGTAGAAACTGCTCCATAGAAGAGCCCTGAAAGTGGCCGGCATCCTCCTTCCTTTCAGGCCATTTCTTTCACCGTAGGTAGTAATCGATTGCAGCAGAGAAAGCAGCAAAACCTCCGCAACCTATGGCCCCGGCCTTCACACCAGCTGCAAAGCAAACGGGCAGTGTTACCATAGTAACAGGTGCTATACTAGACTTCCAAAAATTTTGCACTACAGATGCAAAGAAACCAATTTAAGCATGTTCAATCATTCAAACTCAGTGTCTCATTAAGATTTCAATGAAGCAGCATATTCCATCCAAATCACTGTGCTTCATTTAACTATACATTTGCTTGGTTCTCATTCCAGACAATTACTGTTTCCAGTTGTATAGAACTAGCCCCTCAAAGTGAAGAAAACTGGTTGAGGGAAGTGGCCCTTGAAATCAAATGAAAGCATAAGGCCTTATACCCTAATGTGTTTATGGGATAAATTCCTGGGAAGGTGATCAAAGCAGCCCTGAAAAAGCTACACTATAGGAAGACCAAAAGCTGCTCTGCCAACCACGCATGGCAGTGAGGAGCCAGTGCAGCTTTACTGACAGCACACCACTGGCTCTCAGAGGATACGAAGCTTCTGCTTCGGGTAAGTCAAACTGAGTGGAGAGCGGCCCAACAATACGTGCTGCTTCTAGGAAAAGTTCAAGTCCTTGAGGCCAATGCTCCACACTGGAACAAGGAGGAAGTCAGGGCTGGCTTCTTTCCAGCTGATAGTCTAACATTCGAGGATGGCTGCACTTAGCTTTCCTCTGTCGTTCCCTCTGCCCCTTGTAGTTGAAATTTGTGTGTGAGTGTGTAAATGCCATGTGTACACAGGTGTCGGATCCTCTGAAGCCACAGCTGCAGAGAGCTGTGAGGCTGAGGAACTGAACTCTGTAAGAATAGTACATGCTCTTAACCACTGGGCCAAGCCACTTCTTCAACCAGCCCCCCCCACCTTGGTCTTTAGAGACAAGGTCTCTTGACTCCTCCTGAGTGATGGGCTTATATGCATATATCATCATGCCCAGTGTGTACTTAGATTCCTATCAGCAGGAATTTAAGAGTCCCCAACTGCAAAAAGACACAGCTGTTAAAATTCATATACAAAATTAACACTGACCACTGGGGCTGGGGCTGTAGCTCAGTACTAGAATTTATGCTTAGTGTTTACAAGGACCTGGGGGTTCCCAGGACTGTAAAACAAGCAAAACCCTGAAAACAGTATTCAATTAAGAAAAATGTTCAGACACTTGAAATGGCAGGAAATGAATTCTCAGCACAACCTGCAGGTGCGGACAAATGGAGTGCTCGGGGCTGTGACTTAGCTAGGCTTCTGCACCATCCTGCATGCCAACATACTACTTCCCATGAGAACATCATCATCTCACACACTCAATATGGAAGATCTAGCTCTATGGTTAATCATGGGTAATTTCCCCATGCTTTTGAGAACAGCAGGGGACACTTTCAGTCATCCCATCCTCAAAAGCTATAAGCATCTGGCCACAATGCAAATGATCTCATTCCACACATCAGCAAAGATTTATCGGGGGCTGGAGAGATGCTCAGCAGTTAAAAGAGCATTTGTTCCTCCTGTAGAGGACCCAGGTCTAGTTCCCACCAGCCACATGTAGTTCCAGCCCAGGGAACCTGATGCCCTCTTCTGGCACCAGGCACACATGTGGTACACAGACAAATTCATGCAGGCAAAACACCCATACAAATAAAAATAAATAGTTTTTAAAAAGGAAGATTTGATCTGGTCCAAAATCTCTGGAGTGCCAAGGATTAGACAGCCTAATGTAGATGGATATATATTAAAGTTCCTAGAACCAAGTGAACATGGAAGCAGCCAGGATTTATTTGTCAGAGGGAAGAATATCAAGCATCCTTAGAACACTCATGCTGAGAAATGTCAACATCAGCACGTTGTCCTGGACCACAAAAGAAAGCCACTCGAGAGCTGTTTACCAACCTCTGAAACCAATGGCTCCACCAGTGATGCAGCCGCTGATGACGCTGTTCTTCCAGTCTGACTTTCCCCGGTACTGTGGGCGGAGAGATGCTGTTTAGAGCCAGGGAAACAAGCCAGGCCAGGCGGCTGAGGAAGGGCTTCCTGCTGCCTAGTTTACTCCTACCCAAAGGAAACCCTTAGTTTTCAAAAGGGCAGCTCCTAAGAGTTACATGTGCTTATACATGTTTCCTGCAGGTGGCACCAGAGGGTTGAAGTCAAGTCTAGCATTTGGGGGATAGTTCTCCAGTATAATTTTTTAAATCTTACTTCTTTATTTACTTTTTGTGTGTGTGAGCACGTGTGAAGGTCAGAGACCTTCTTCCACAGTGTGGATTCCAGGGATTGAACTCCGTGGCAAGTGCTTTAACCCTTTGAGCCATCTCACTGGCCCTCTCCAGTATAAAACATGAACTACAATGACCTGGGTGGAGATGTGGCTCAGTGGTAGAGCACTTGCCTATTGTGCATAAAACCCCAAATTCAATCCCCAGCACCAAATAAATAGGGGAAAAAGATGACTTTTTGCCTACAGAAGATTAAAAAAAAAAAAAAAGAAGCAAACCCCATATTATAAATATGTAAAGAGTTCAATTAGAGACTAATCTAGAACAAACTTTAACATTTTAAAATGCTTGTTTTGAGGCAAAGTGTTCCTATGTAGCCCAGGCTGGCCCAGATCTCATGCTCCTCTGCTTCAGCTCCTCTGGGAAGTGACAAACACAGAGCACATCTCTCTAAGGCTTGACATTGCTAATCTGCAATCCAGGAAGAACACGAGGAACACTGCTCCTGTGTGACGGGCTGCGAATGGTGGCACACGCCTTTAATCCCAGCACTCGGGAGGCAGAGTCAGGCGGCTCTCTGTGAGTCTGAGGCAGCTTGGTCTATGGAGCCATTCTAGGGCAGCCACTGCTACAGAGAGATTGTAACTTGAAGACAGAAAAGGTGTGTGACGGCAGCAGAGGGATTTCTTAGGAAGGAAGAGGCACTTACAGATTCTACCAGACACTCAGTACACGAGAACATGGCGCCCACGATGGCAAAATTCTTGGCGTATGACATTCCTCTTTGTCCCATGTCTTTCAGAACTTCCTTTGCGGTTGGTGTCCGGTAAGGGTCCTTAGGGTCAAAGCCTACATTAGTATCAATGCCGGCTGTAAAGACCCCAAATGCACCTCCCAAGACAAATCCTAGGAACAAGCAGAGACAAGAGTTCTTCACACTCCGGACTACCATTTTGGGATACTTGAAGAGGGCCTTTTTAGTCTCTTACTACTCAGTCTCAGCCCTGCTTCCTCCACAGTCACACTTGCAGCCCCCCCCCCCAACTCTTCTAGGTTTTCTTCTTCATTTTCCAGTCTTTCAGCTTTAACCCTGTTTCTCTGTAGAGCAGCCACTCTCAAGCTCAGCTACCGACTTTGCATACCATTCCCTTACCCATGCCAACATTCGTCACCGTCACCTATGGTGTCACCACACACTCTGGAAAACTCTTTGTCACAGCAAGTTGGGAAGTAGGTGTTATTGTTCTCTTTGTCTAGCCTTTTTTTTATAATTTATTTAACTTTATTTTATGTGCATTGGTATGAAGGTATCATATCCCCTGAACTGGAGCCACAGACAGCTGTGAGCCGCCATGTGGGTGCTGGGAACCGAACCTAGGTCCTCTGGAAGAAGAGTCAGTGCTTTCAATCCACTGAGCCATCCCTCCAGCCCCTGTCTAGCTTTTTTGTTTGTTTGAAACAGGGTCTCACTATGTAGTCCTGACTGACCTGGAACTCTGTAGAAGAGGCTAGCTCAAACTCAAGAGATCCACCTGCCTCTGTCTCCCAGGTGCCTGGATTAAAAGTGTGTGTCACTATCACCCAGCTGTCCTCTCTAAAGTTCAGAGAAGTAACTGTCTCCAAAGCTGCATGACTATCATCTATCTATCTATCTATCTATCTATCTATCTATTAATTTGAGACATAGTCTATATAGTCTATATAGCTGTCCTGAAGCTTGCTATGTAGACCAGGCTGACCTCAAATTCATCTAGTGCTAGGAGTAGAGGCCTGAGCCACCTCCCCCGCCATACCTGGCTTTTACAGGGAGGCTGGGTATTGAACTGAGATCTTCATGCATGCACAGCAAGCCCTTTACCATCTGCACTTTCTGCCTCGCCATTTCTGCATGGATGTCTTACAAGATCAACGTAAGTTCAGTGAAATTAGACACCACCTCCCCTCCCAAAATGTCTTACTTTCCAATCCCTCCAGCTCCAAACCTGTCTCTTCTGTCTACTACACTTGAGATTTGCTTTTTGTTTGTTTGGTCTGTTTTTTGTTTTGATTTTATTTTTGAGATAGTGTCTGCGTCATGTAATTCCTGGCTGTCCTGGAATTCACTATATATTCTAGGTTGGCCTGGAACTCAGATCGGATTGCCTCTTTATCCCCACGTTTTAAGACTTGAACTCCTGCTATTCGGATTTCTTAAATGTTTTTCATTCCCGAGAAATGTGAACTCATCTACAATTACAGTTAACCCTTTTCCCTGCACACTGGAAGAGTGCTGGACGTTCTCAAATCCCCCAGGTTAATTAGTGGGTTTTTGTTTGTTTTTCTAATGTCCCATTCCACCCCACGCCGACTGTCTAATTACACTGGCCTTTAGTTTTTCATTTGTTGTTGGTTTTTGGTTTGGTTTGGTTTTTGAGACAGGGTATAACGTAGAACTGGCCGTCCTGGAACACTCTTTGTCGACCAGGCTAGCCTCGAACTCACAGAAATCCATCTGCCTCCGCCTCCCGAGTGCTGGGATTAACCTCAAACTTCTGGCTTGAGGACCTTTGCATTTGCAATGCCCTATGTGTCTGCAGCACTTTTCTGCCCAGGGTCCAGAAATTCTCTACCAGGGCTCCTGTCACTGTCACCCATATTCCCACTGTCCAGCACACGACAGTTGCTTAAGTCACAACTGTTTGAATGGATAAATGAATGAACAAAAGCAGGTACTTAACAATCTGCAGGCCCTGGCTGTAGTTCTGATTCTCCGTTCCGATTCCCAACAGTGAATGTTAACCCCAGGATTAAGAGAGGCATCTTCGGGTTCATTGAGGCAGTCGGGGGGCAATCAAGGTCGAGACCCACACGTGATTCGTCTCCCAGGCGCGGGGTCTTAGCAAAGAACCCCAAGGCCCTCCAAGTCCTCAGCCTCCCAGGGGTCCCTCGCCTCACCTCCCACGCAGGCTAGCACAGCCTTGAAAGCGCAACTTTCCATCGCCCTCTCGATCATCTTCTGCTCCTCGCTCTTGGAGGGACTCGGGATCCCGCCCAGGCTGCCAGGCTCCAGGAGCCGGGGCTGACGCTTGTCACCCACCAGGTACTGCAGAAGAAGGCTGTACTGCAGCGGAGCTTCGGCGGAAGCTGCCGCTTCGGGAGCTGAAGCCCCGGCCTTTGGGGCAGCCGCCGCCATGACGGTAGGAGCTCTAGAACCTTTCGCGTCCTACTTCCCCCAGCAGATTCCACACGCTTGCCTAGGTGTCCAGCCATCGTGACGCAGCGGCAGATTCGCCACATTGAGGAAGCTGCGGTAGCAAAAGTTGGCCTGTGCACCAGCGTCAAGGAGGTTACAATGTTTCCCCAAAGCCTCTTGTAAATACTGACTCGAGTCTGTAAGGCATTGCTAAAAGACTGACAACAAGATTCAGGGTCTCCAGAACACCCCTATCAACTAGGTGACTCCAGTGCAGTGCGTGCCGGGATTTGTAGTTCTAACTTCAAACATCTAAATACATTTCCCAGAAAGCTGTGCGTGCGCTCGCCCGGCCGCTTCCTCTAGAAAGAAGCTCTAGTTGGTAGCAGACGAAGAAAGGCCGGGCTCCCGCTAGACTGCAGTTTGTTGAACATCCAGCAGGAGGCGTGCGTGCCCGCTTTGTTGCCATGCCAAGCTGCAGAGATCCTGCCACCTCAGTCAGGTAGAACTACAGGCTGGTTGGTATTCTGTGATCAAATAATGGTACGTGCTTTGCAAGCAAATGTTGAACCATGGCATAAAGGTGTTTAATAGATATTTTATTATATAGTTAAACCTTTGAGGAGAAAGAAGGGACCAACAAAGAGCTGGGTGGTGGTGGCACATGTAATCCCAGCAGAGGCAGTTAGATCTCTGAGTTCGAGGCCAGCCTGGTCTGCAGAGCCACACAGAGAAACCCTGTTCTGAAAGAACTAACTAACTAACTAACTAAACATTGGGGATTGTGGAGGGGGTGAGGAGGAGGGGAAGAGAACATGAGGGAATGGCAGACTGTGGTAGCTGTGATTCTGATCCATGCACAGCAAAAGCTCTGCCACCACACTACGCCTTCAGTCTCAGGCTGACAGTTCCTTTCTCTGCTTTAGCTAAGACAAGCACTCATAAAACCAGAAATGATTACAGATGCATGTTTGGTGTCTAAAAACCTCTGAGTTCTTGCTTCTGCCCCCACCAGGCCATCAAGCAAGCTAAGTCTGAAGTTTCCAGTGGTTTCTTAGCTGTCAAATTGTCCTAAACCTCTCGGCTGTATGTGACACATCGGCCACTCTCTCCTTTGATGTTTTGTCAGGGCTGTTTTTGAAACATTAAAGTATGTGTGGTGCGTGCGCGTGTGTGTGTGTGTGTGGCGCGCACACGCGTGTGAGTGTGTGCGTGTGCAGGTGCCCACAGAGACCAGAAAAGAGTATCAGATCCCCTGGAGCTGGAATTCAGGTGGTTATGAGCCACAGATTCGTGCTGGGGACTAAATTTGGTGGACGAACAGCAAGTCTTCTTTATCGCTGCACCATCTCTCCAGCCTGATCTCCTCAATTTTGATTGAGCTTTCTCTCCTACTTTTGCGGCAGCCTCTCCAGTTGCTCTTAGACTTCTTCGTACACAACTCTGACACTTTGCTATTCTTCCTGGTTCATCCTCTGTTGATTAGTGTTTAGTCACTTCTAAACAACTGTGAGCCAGGGCTCCAGTTCATGCAAAGATTTTAAGAGTCAAAGTTGGATCTGGGAAGTGGTGGTGCGCGCCTTTAATCCCAGCACTCAGGAGGCAGAGACAGGTGGATCTCTGTGAGTTTGAGGCCAGCCTGGTATATTGGGGAATATTATTTTAAGATATGTTACTTTTGTTTATGTTGTATTTGCTTAACTCTGTGAAGCGGTGTTACTGTGCCTGTCTAATATACCCAATGGTCTACTAAAGAGCTGAATGGCCAATAGCGAGGCGAGAGAGAGAAATAGGTGGGACTAGCAGCCAGAGAATATAAACATGAGGAAAAATCTGGGAGAGAAAAGAATCTGGGAACAAGAGAGGAAGGTTGAGGACTTCAGGGGCCAGGCACCCAGCTGCACAGCCAGACGTGGAGTAAGAAGGAAAGAAAAAGTATTCAGGAATAGAGAAAGAAAAAAGTCCCAAGCTGGGCGGTGGTGGCACACACCTTTAGTCCCAGCACTTGGGAGGCAGAAGGAGGCAGATCTCTGTGAGTTCGAGACCAGCCTGGTCTACAAGAGCTAGTTCCAGGACAGGCTCCAACACTACAGAGAAACTCTGTTTCGAAAAACCAAAAAAGAAAACTCAAGATGGTGGGTGGCTCAGGGACCATGTGGTGAATTAGGAGAAAGCCTAATTATGTCTTCCCCGATGTCTATAAGCCCCTAGCTGATCTGTGATTCTCTTGGGTGCTGTCTGCTGCTGGGGCTCAGAAAGAAAAGAAATAGCTCAAGTTGAGAGAATCCATGTTGGACCGGCTCTGGTGGTGCATGCCATTAATCCCAGAACTCAAGAGGTAGAAGCAGATGGATCTCTGAGTTTGAAGTTAGCCTGGTCTACAAATCAAATTCATGCTTAAAACAAAAACAAGAGAGGGGGTAAGTGGGGAGAGAGGGGAGGAAAAGCCCAGGTTGAGTGCAGAGTATTGCATTTGGGCGTGAGCTACGTATGCCTATGCTATCAATGGAATGTTTCACAAGCCCCGTGACTGGCAGAAGGTAGGTGCCAGCTGATGCTGCCTCGCTGACTAAGCTGTTGTAGACAGTTGGTATTGGGCAAGTGCCTTTAGTTTTAGATTTTATTTATTTTAATTTTATGCCTATATGTGTTTACTTGAATGTACATCTGTGCACCAAGTGTGTGTAGTACCCTGGAGGCCAGAAGATGGCACCAGATCTCCTGGGACTGGCATTATATAGATGGTTGTGAAGCCAGGAACTATGGAAGAGCAGCTAGGGATCTCAACTGCTGAGCCATCTCTCCAGTCCCTGGACAGATGATTTTTTCACTTAATGTCCTCTGACACTGGAGAAAAAACGGGTGCTACAGGAGAACTAAGAACTTTTTTCACACAAACGCATACACACACACCCTTCCATACCTGCCCTCCCTGATGCCGTCTAGACAAATCATACTTTCCTTGCATTGCGTGCACACACACACACTGATTTTTTGAGTCCACTCCTTTGCTTTGGTACCCATTGGCATGGAAGGTGTGTTATCCCCCATCATTTCATGGTCAATAGACTGCTACTTTCTTGCCTCCTGCCCAAGTCTTCAAACCATTCCCAGAAACATCTTTTATCACCCAAATGAAATTGCATCTGCTGCTTCAGATTCTTGTTGCAGAATATTTCTTTACACTGTGTGAAGATGTGTCACTGTGATTGGGTTAATAAAGAGCTGAAATGGACAACAGGCAGGCAGGGAGAGATAGGTGTCTCTTCCAGGGACAGAGAGGACTCTGGGAAGAAGAAAGGTGGAGTCGTGGGTGAGACAGAAAGAGGAAACAGGAGGTTCAAGATGGAAAAGGGGTGATGTCAAGTGGCAGAGCATAAATTAATATAAATGATTTAATTTAAGTTGTAAGAGCTAGTGGGACCAGCCTAAGGTAATGGCTAAGCTTTTATAATTAATAAGAAGTCTCCATGTCACTATTATTATTAGTTTTTCGAGACGGAGTTTCTCTGTGAAACAGTCTTGACTGTCCTGGAACTCACTCTGTTGGCCAGGCTGGCCTCAAACTCACAGAGATCCACCTGCCTCTGCCTCCAGAGTTCTGGGATTGAAGGCGTGTGCCACCACCACTTGGCTCCATATTCTTTTTTTTAAAGATTTATTTATTTATTAAGCATACAATATACTGCTGGCAAGGAACGCACCAGGTCTCATTACAGATGGCTGTGAGCCACCATGTGGTTGCTGGGAATTGAACTCAGGATTTCTGGAAGAGCAGCCAGTGCTCTTACCCTCTGAGCCATCTCTCCAGCCCCCTGGCTCCATATTCTTAATTAGACTCCATATTCTTAATTAGAAGTGATCTGTCAGAATCATTCTTGTTTTTTGCTGGGTGTCCTGACACTAGAGAGGCAGAAGCAGGCAGGTCTCTGAGTTCAAGATCAGCCTGGTTACACAGTGTGTGCATATGTGTGTGTGTGCGTGTGTGTATGTGTGTGTGTGTGCACATGAAGGTGCCCACAGAGGACAGAAGAATGATTCTCAGGACTGGAGTCTGGAGTCAGAAGTGGTTTGAGACATCCAATGTAGGTGCTGGAAATGCCCTCAGGTCCTCTAGAAAAGCAGCAAGTGCTCTTGCTCACTGAACTCGCTGAACCCCAGCCCTCTCAGAATCATTTTTGGGGTTTTGCTTGTTTTTGAGACAGAGTCTCACTGTATAGTTCTCGCTGATTTGGAACTCCCTATGTAAACCACACTGCTCCTCATCTCACAGAGATCTGCCTTCCTCTGAAGGGCTGGGGTCAAAGGCATGTGCCACTATGCTTGGAACTCAGACTCATTAATGTTTCATGGTCTTTGGTGTGAGAGAAGTAAGTCTGAACTTCCGGAACTTTCTTTGTAGGCGCCATTCTTGTACTGAGCCAATGGTCAGGTGTTAGAAAATGATGCTCCCGTGACATTCTCTTTTTTAAAAAAATATTTATTTATTATGTATAATTTATCTATTTATTATGTATACAATATTCTGTCTGTATGCCTGAAGGCCAGAAGAGGGCGCCAGACCTCTTTACAGATGGTTGTGAGCCACCATGTGGTTGCTGGGAATTGAACTCAGGACCTTTGGAAGAGCAGGCAATGCTCTTAACCATTGAGCCATCTCTCCAGCCCCCATAACATTCTCTTTTTGACCCTAGCCTTACTAGTGGATCCATGCTTTCCTCACTGGGAACAAAGGTTTCCTGGGCTGCTCAGTGGCAGACCCTTAGATTCTAGCCTGTTTCTGGTGGCTGGTCTAATATCCCTGGATCAGAATACCAGAATGACTTGAGAGGTTTTTTGTTCATTTTTCGTGTGTGAATGTGTCCACGCTATATGAATGTGGATGCCTGAGAAAGCTAGAAGAGGGCACTGGATGCGGTGGGACACCCTTTAATCCCGGTACTCGGGGAGGCACTGGATGCCGTGGGACACCCTTTAATCCCGGTACTCGGGGAGGCACTGGGTGCGGTGGGACACCCTTTAATTCCGGTAGTCAGGAGGGAGGATCAGTAAGGCTGAGTTAAAGGTCAGCCTAGTCTATTTAGCTAGTCCCATGCTAGACAAGGCTGTACAGCAAGAGCTTGGTTCCAAATAGATAGATAGATAGATAGATAGATAGATAGATAGATAGATAGACAGACAGATAGACAGACAGACTCAGAATGATTAATTTTAT